GATCCAGTTTGAGGTTGGCTACCTGATCCTGCCTGACTGAAGCCAGCTGATCCAGACAGTTGGCCACTTGAACCAGTCACACGCTGACCACTTGCTCCTGCTTGGGTGAAACTGGTTGATCCAGTCACACGCTGACCACTGGATCCTGTCTGGGTGAAGCCAGATGTTCCAGACAACTGACCACTTGATCCAGATTGGCTAAAGGTTGAACCAGATCCTGCCTGACTGAAGCCAGCTGATCCAGACAGTTGTCCACTTGAACCAGATTGGCTGAAACCATTTGAACCACTCACACGCTGACCACTTGCTCCTGCTTGGCTGAAACTGGTTGATCCACTCACACGCTGACCACTAGAACCAGTCTGAGTGAAGCCAGCTGATCCAGTCAATTGACCAGCTGATCCAGACTGCCTGAAGCCAGTGGCACCAGTCACACGCTGTCCACTTGCTCCTGCTTGAGAGAAAGTGGTTGACCCAGTCACTCGCTGACCACTAGAACCAGTCTGGGTGAAGCCAGCTGATCCAGACAGTTGACCACTTGAACCAGATTGGCTGAAACCACTTGAACCACTTACACGCTGTCCACTCGCTCCTGCTTGAGAGAAAGTGGTTGACCCAGTCACTCGCTGACCACTAGAACCAGTCTGGGTGAAGCCAGCTGATCCAGACAGTTGGCCACTTGAACCAGTTTGGCTGAAACCATTTGAACCACTTACACGCTGAACACTTGCTCCTGCTTGAGAGAAAGTGGTTGACCCAGTCACACGCTGACTGCCTGATCCAGCTTGGCTGAAACCAGTTGATCCAGTCACACGTTGACCACTAGACCCAGTCTGGGTGAAGCCAGCTGATCCAGACAATTGACCACTTGTTCCAGATTGGCCAAAAGATGAGCCAGTCACACGCTGACCACTTGATCCGAAGCCAGCTGATCCAATCTGCTGACCACTTGCTCCTGCCTGAGAGAAGCTGGTTGATCCAGCCACTCGCTGACCACTTGATCCTGTCTGAGAGAAACTGGTTGATCCACTCACACGCTGACCACTTGCTCCTGCTTGGGTGAAACTGGTTGATCCAGTCACTCGCTGACCACCAGCCTGGCTGAATCCACCTGATCCAGACAACTGACTACTTGTTCCGGATTGGCCAAAAGATGAGCCAGTCACACGTTGGCCACTTGATCCGAAGCCAGCTGATCCAGTCTGCTGACCACTTGCTCCTGCCTGAGAGAAGCTGGTTGATCCAGTCACTCGCTGACCACTTGATCCTGACTGGCTGAAGCTAGCTGGACCAGCCCCACTTTGGCCATTTGAACTAGTCTGAATGAAGCTGGTGGATCCAGTCACACGCTGACCACTTGATCCCCTTTGGATGAAACCAGCTGATCCAGTCAACTGACCACCTGAACCTGTCTGACTGAAGGTATTTGATCCAGTAACACGTTGACCAAGGGTGCCTGTCTGACTGAATTGGTTTGCTGAGCCAGTTTGAGAGATGCCACTTAATCCACTCAAACGCTGACCACTTAATCCTGTTGGGCTGGCATTCCCGGATCCTGTCTGACTAAATCTATTGGATCCTGTCACTAGTCCACTTGATTGTGACTGACTAAAACTGGTTGAAGTTTGACGTGACGTAGAACCTTGTCCAGCCCGGTTGAAACTGGGAGATCCTGACTGGCCAAAATTAGCATTTGTGCCTCTTTGACTGAAACTGGTGGATCCAGCCAATCGCTGACCAGCTAATCCCGGTTGACGCACACCACTTGACCCTGTCTGGCTGAAACCAGTTGACTGACCAGTAAACTGTGACCCAAAGCTCTGCTGAGAACCAGAACTTTGTTGAGAGTTAAAGTTCTGTTGAGAGCTAACGGCTTGCTGGCTTATTTGACTGAGCAAATTTGTGACAGGTAAATCTTGACTGTTTGAGTAGAAGTTAGCTATGTTTGGGCCTTCTTCTTCACTAACAGTTGCTTGATACCCACTCTCGCCATCAATGAAGTAACGAGTTACTCTGTAATAAATGAAAAATATCGTTGGTACTATTAAACATATAGATATACATATGTATGGGTGTGTAAAATATGTGTGTGTGTGTGTGTGCATGTATATGTGGGTAGATGTGTGTGTATAGACATTCATATATATGATTTTATTTTCATTCATCTTTTAAGAACAATTGTCTCTGAGCTTTACATGTTTACATCCTTAAATGCTACAAGATTTGTGGACTGAAACCATTTTGACACTATGAGAACATTTGACAACAGGAGTGCATGTATTGTCTCCCTTACCCTTGATATATTAGTGGTCAGGATTATATCCGATTTTACTAAAAGCTGACATTTAAAAAAGAATTTGAATGTAGAATATTGAATTAGGGAAACGCACCAACGCGAAGTCGACAATCCAGTCCTCCTATTTAAAAGAAAATCCAGTCATAGCATACAATCTACCTTCCCAAAAGTGGATACATTCTAGCACTACATTCGGCATGGACCTAAACGTAAACTTCCTGTAATACTCTTGGTATGAAACAAAACTTCTGACACGCCAAAAGGGTTTAAGAATTAAGACGTTTCAGACACTCTTCTGACACGCCAAAGAGTTTAAGAATTAAGACATTTCAGACGCTATTCTGACACGACAAAGGAATTAAGAATTAAGACGTTTCAAGACGCCCTTCTGACACGCCAAAGGGTTTAAGAATCAAGATATATCAGACACTCTTCTGACACGCCAAAGGAATGAAGAATTAAGATGTTTTAGACACTCTTCTGACACGCTAAAGGCTTTAAGAATTAAGATATATCAGACGCTCTTCCGACACGCCAAAAGGGTTTACGAATTAAAACGTTTTAGACGCTCTTCTGACACGCCAAAGGGGTTAAGAATTTAGACGTTTCAAGACGCTCTCTTGACACGCCAAAAGGTTTAAGAATTAAGACGTTTCAAGACGCTCTCCTGACACGCCAAAAGGGTTTACGAATCAAGATATATCAGACACTCTTCTGACACGCCAAAGAGTATAAGAACTAAAACGCTTCAAGACGCTCCGACTTACATGTAGAGTCCATTCGGCTGCAACCAGCGGTACTCTCCCTCCGTGCGCCCGTCCTGACTCGTCGTCTCCTTGTGCGCCTTGATGTCCCCCGTCACCTCTCCGTTGACCCCGTAGGCGTAGTCGTAGGGCATGGGCTGTGGGGCGGGAGGGGGGTCGGGAGGTCACTTGGGGGGAAGTGTGACTCAGAGGTGTCAATATTTTGGGAAAGAGAGCGTGAGAGAGAAGAAAGAGGAGAGGAGAGAGAGGGATATGTATATATTATAATATATATATATTATATATATATATATATATAAATATATATATATATATATATATATGTATTATGTATGTATTCATGTGTGTTGCTTATGTGTGTGTGTGCGTGCTGCGTGTGTGTGTGTGTTGTGTGTGTGTGTGTTGTGTGTGTGTGTGTGTGTGTGTGTGTGTGTGTGTGTGTGTGTGTGTGTGTGTGCATGTGTGTGTGTGTGTGTGTGTGTGTATATATATAAATATATATATATATATATAATATATATATATATGTATATATAATATATATATATATATATATATATATATATATATATATATGCATATGTGTGTGTGTGTATGAATATATGTATGTATGTGTTTGTGTGTGTGTGAATGAATATATGAATATATGTATGTGTGTGTGTGTGTAGATAGATAGATAATCATTAACTGATATCGAAGTATATAAACATAGATAATAATACGCCGCACGTTTGAAAAAGATATATCACTTTTCCTTTCAACAAAGGAAAAAGAATATACAAGAAAAAAACAGTCAAAAAGAAAACCCAAACATACCATATCGGCCGCGTTGACCGCCGCCCCGAGAGCGAGCGCCAGCATCCACATCTTCATCTGGAAAAAGGAAAGCGGAAAGAGTGTGAATTTTGGCGCCATTGAGGGACCCTGAGTATAAAATCATGGTGAGAATTATTGGAAGTAGAGCCCCATTAAGAAAGATTATAAATAAATGAATGGTGAATATATAAAGAATGATGATGATAAATAGTTAAAGAACTAATGATTTATTGATAAAGAAATAATGATAAATAGATCAAGAAATAATGATAAATAGGTAAAGAAATAATGATAAATAGATAGAGAAATTATGATAAATAGATAAAGAAATAATGATACTAATGAAATAAGAAATAAATGAAAATAAGCTAAAATGTCAGATCAGTTTCTCTCCTTCTTCATCTGAAAAAAGGAAAGCGGAAAGAGTGTGAATTTTGGCGCCATTGAGGGACCCTGAGTATAAATCATGGTGAGAATTATTGGATGTGGAAACCCGTTAAGAAAGAAATTGTGATAAATAGATCAAGAAATCATGAGAGATAGATTAAGAAATGGTGATAAATAGATAAAGAAATAACGATAAATAGATCAAGAAATAATGATGAATAGGTAAAGAAATAAAGATAAAAATATAGAGAAAATTTTGATAAATAGATAAAGAGATAATGATATTAATGAAATAAGAAATAAATGAAAATAAGCTAAAATGTCATATCAGTTCCTCTCCTTCTTCATCTGGAAAAAGGAAAGCGGAAAGACTGTGAATTTTGGCGCCATTGAGGGACCCTGAGTATAAATCATGGTGATAATTATTGGATGTGGAAACCCGTTAAGAAAGAAGTGGTGATAAATAGATCAAGAAATCATGAGAGATAGATCAAGAAATGGTTGATAAATAGATCAAGAAATAATGATAAATAGATCAAGAGATAATGATAAATAGGTAAAGAAATAATGATAAATAGATAGAGAAAATTTTGATAAATAGATAAAGAGATAATGATACTAATGAAATAAGAAATAAATGAAAATAATCTAAAATGTCAGATCAGTTCCTCTCCTTCTTCATCTGAAAAAAGGAAAGCGGAAAGAGTGTAAATTGGCGCCATTGAAGGACCCTGAGT